GTGGAATACAAACAGTCCAGTTGTGCCCTGGAGGTGAGGGCCCTGCCAGAGTGGTTCCAACAGTCTTGAAGGAGTTCCCACATATGCTGAGCACTTGTTGGCTGCTTTTCCTTCACTCTGCGGTCCGACTCATCCCAAACCATCTCAATTTGGTTGAGATTGGGAGATTGTGGAGGCCAAGTCATCTGATGCAGCACTCCATCACTCTCCTTCTTGGTAAAATAGCCCTTACACAGCCTGGAGGTGTTTTGAGTCATTGTCCTGTTGAAAAACAAATGATAGTCCCACTAAGCCCAAACCAGATGGGATGGCGTATCGCTGCAGAATGCTGTGGTAGCCATGCTGGTTAAGTGTGCCTTGAATTCTAAATAAATCACAGACAGTGTCACCAGAAAAGCACACCCACACCATAACACCTCCTCCTCCATGCTTTACGGTGGGAAATACACATGCGGAGATAATCCGTTCACCCACACCGCGTCTTACAAAGACACGGCGGTTGGAACCAAAAATCTCCAATTTGGACTCCAGACCAAAGGACAAATTTCCACCGGTCTATTGTCCATTGCTCGTGTTTCTTGGCCCAAGCAAGTCTCTTCTTCTTATTGGTGGCCTCTCTTTGCAGCAATTCGACCATGAAGGCCTGATTCGCAAAGTCTCCTCTGAACAGTCTGGGCTCCAGAGTGGCACAGCGATCTAAGGCACTGCATCTCAGTGTTAGAGGCGTCACTACAGACCCTGGTTTGATTCCAGGCTGTATCACAATCCGGCCGTAATTGGGAGTCCCATAGGGCGGCGCACTATTGGCCCAGTGTCGTCCGGGTTTGGCCGGGGTTGGGCGTCACTGTAAATAAGAATTTGTTCTTAACTGACTTGCCCAGTTAAATAAAGGTTAAATAAAAAATAAAAATAACAGTTGATGTTGAGATGTGTCTGTTACTTGAACTCTGTGAAGCATTTATTTGTGTGTGTGTATATACAGTCGTGGTCAAAAGTTTTGAGAATGACACAAATACTAATTTTCACAAAGTCTGCTGCCTCAGTTTTGATGACGGCAATTTGCATATACTCCAGAATGTCATGAAAAGTGATCAGATTAATTGCAAAGTCCCTCTTTGCCATGAAAATTAACTTAATCCCCAAAAAACATTTCCACTGCATTTCAGCCCTGCTACAAAAGGACCAGCTGCCATGATTTCAGTGATTCTCTCGTTAACACAGGTGAGAGTGTTGACGAGGACAAGGCCGGAGATCACTCTGTCATGCTGATTGAGTTAGAATAACAGACTGGAAGCTTTAAAAGGAGGGTGGTGCTTGAAATCATTGTTATTCCTCTGTTAACCATGGTTACCTGCAAGGAAACCTGTGCCGTCATCATTGCTTTGCACAAAAAGGGCTTCACAGGCAAGGATATTGCTGCTAGTAAGATTGCACCTAAATCAACCATTTATCGGATCATCAAGAACTTCAAGGAGAGAGGTTCAATTGTTGTGAAGAAGGCGTCAGGGCGCCCAAGAAAGTCCAGCAAGTGCCACCAGTGCAGAGCTTGCTCAGGAATGGCAGCAGGCAGGTGTGAGTGCATCTGCACGCGCAGTGAGGCAAAGACTTTTGGAGGATGGCCTGGTGTCAAGAAGGGCAGCAAAGAAGCCACTTCTCTCCAGGAAAAACATCAGGGACAGACTGATATTCTGCAAAAGGTACAGGGATTGGACTGCTGAGGACTGGGGTAAAGTCATGTTCTCTGATGAATCCCCTTTCCGATTGTTTGGGGCATCCGGAAAACACCTTGTCCGGAGAAGACAAGGTGAGCGCTACCATCAGTCCTGTGTCATGCCAACAGTAAAGCATCCTGAGACCATTCATGTGTGGGGTTGCTTCTCAGCCAAGGGAGTGGGCTCACTCACAATTTTGCCTAAGAACACAGACATTAATAAAGAATGGTACCAACATATCCTCCGAGAGCAACTTCTCCCAACCATCCAAGAACAGTTTGGTGACAACCAATGCCTTTTCCAGCATGATGGAGCACCTTGCCATAAGGCAAAAGTGATAATTAAGTGGCTCGGGGAACAAAACATCGACATTTTGGGTCCATGGCCAGGAAACTCCCCAGACCTTAATCCCATTGAGAACTTGTGGTCGATCCTCAAGAGGTGGGTGGACAAACAAAACCCCACAAATTCTGACAAACTCCAAGCATTGATTATGCAAGAATGGGCTGCCATCAGTCAGGATGTGGCCCAGAAGTTAATTGACAGCATGCCAGGGCGGATTGCCGAGGTCTTGAAAAAGAAGGGTCAACACTGCAAATATTGACTCTTTGCATAAACTTAATGTAATTGTCAATAAAAGCCTTTGACACTTATGGAATGCTTGTAATTATACTTCAGTATACCCATAGTAACATCTGACAAAAATATCTCATAACACTGAAGCAGCGAACTTTGTGAAGACCAATACTTTGTCATCTCTTCTCTCTCCTCCGGCTCTCTCGAGAGAGAAGAGAGAGAGAGAGAGGAGGAGAGCGTAGCGGGGGAGAGAGCAGCGACGCGCTCGAGCGCTGAGCGGCGCGCGCGAGCGCGCGCGCGCGCGCGCTCTATCGCTTCTAGCGCCTCTCTCTCTCTCTCTCTATATATCTATCTATATATCTATATATATATATATATATATCTATATATATATATACAGTCGTGGTCAAAAGTTTTGAGAATGACACAAGTATTGGTCTTCACAAAGTTCGCTGCTTCAGTGTTATGAGATATATATATATATATACACAGTGGGGAGAACAAGTATTTGATACACTGCCGATTTTGCAGGTTTTCCGACTTACAAAGCATGCAGAGGTCTGTAATTTTAATCATAGGTACACTTCAACTGTGAGAGACAGAATCTAAAACAAAAATCCTGAAAATCACATTGTATGATTTTTAAGTAATTAATTTGCATTTTATTGCATGACATAAATATTTGATCACCTACCAACCAGTAAGAATTCCGGCTCTCACAGACCTGTTAGTTTTTCTTTAAGAAGCCCTCCTGTTCTCCACTCATTACCTGTATTAACTGCACCTGTTTGAACTCGTTACCTGTATAAAAGACACCTGTCCACACACTCATTCAAACAGACTCCATCCTCTCCACAATGGCCAAGACCAGAGAGCTGTGTAATGACATCAGGGATAAAATTGTAGACCTGCACAAGGCTGGGATGGGCAAGCAGCTTGGTGAGAAGGCAACAACTGTTGGCGCAATTATTAGAAAATGGAAGAAGTTCAAGATGACGGTCAATCACCCTCGGTCTGGGGCTCCATGCAAGATCTCACCTCGTGGGGCATCAATGATCATGAGGAAGGTGAGGGATCAGCCCAGAACTACACGGCAGGACCTGGTCAATGACCTGAAGAGAGCTGGGACCACAGTCTCAAAGAAAACCATTAGTAACACACTCCGCCGTCATGGATTAAAATCCTGCAGCGCACGCAAGGTCCCCCTGCTCAAGCCAGCGCATGTCCAGGCCCGTCTGAAGTTTGCCAATGACCATCTGGATGATCCAGAGGAGGAATGGGATAAGGTCATGTGGTCTGATGAGACAAAAATAGAGCTTTTTGGTCTAAACTCCACTCGCCGTGTTTGGAGGAAGAAGAAGGATGAGTACAACCCCAAGAACACCATCCCAACCATGAAGCATGGAGGTGGAAACATCATTCTTTGGGGATGCTTTTCTGCAAAGGGGACAGGACGACTGCACCGTATTGAGGGGAGGATGGATGAGGCCATGTATCGCGAGATCTTGGCCAACAACCTCCTTCCCTCAGTAAGAGCATTGAAGATGGGTCGTGGCTGGGTCTTCCAGCATGACAACGACCCGAAACACACAGCCAGGGCAACTAAGGAGTGGCTCCGTAAGAAGCATCTCAAGGTCCTGGAGTGGCCTAGCCAGTCTCCAGACCTGAACCCAATAGAACATCTTTGGAGGGAGCTGAAAGTCCGTATTGCCCAGCGACAGCCCTGAAACCTGAAGGATCTGGAGAAGGTCTGTATGGAGGAGTGGGCCAAAATCCCTGCTGCAGTGTGTGCAAACCTGGTCAAGACCTACAGGAAACGTATGATCTCTGTAATTGCAAACAAAGGTTTCTGTACCAAATATTAAGTTCTGCTTTTCTGATGTATCAAATACTTATGTCATGCAATAAAATGCAAATTAATTACTTAAAAATCATACAATGTGATTTTCTAGATTTTTGTTTTAGATTCCGTCTCTCACAGTTGAAGTGTACCTATGATAAATATTACAGACCTCTACATGCTTTGTAAGTAGGAAAACCTGCAAAATCGGCAGTGTATCAAATACTTGTTCTCCCCACTGTATATATATATACACACAGCACCAGTCAAAAGTTTGGACACACCTATTCAGTGAAGGATTTTTCTTTATTTGTACTATTTTCTACATTGTTGAATAATAATGAAGACATCAAAACTATGAAAAAACACATATGGAATCATGTAGTAACCAAAAAAGTGTTATACAAATCAAAATATATTTTATATTTGAGATTCTTCAAATAGCCACCCTTTCATGACAGCTTGGCACACTCTTGGCATTCTCTCAACCAGCTTCATGAGGTAGTCACCTGGAATGCATTTAAATTAACAGGTGTGCCTTCTTAAAAGTTAATTTGTGGAATTTCTTTCCTTCTTAATGCGTTTGAGCCAATCAGTTGTGTTGTGACAAGGTAGGGGTGGTATACAGAAGATAGCCCTATTTGTTAAAAGACCAAGTCCATATTATGGCAAGAACATCTCAAATAAGCAAAGAGAAATCACAGTCCCATCATTACTTTAAGACATGAAGGTCAATCAATGCGGAAAAGAGAGAGGGAACGAGAAAAGGGTGCTACAGAGAGAGACGAGGAGAGAATGAGAGCACCGCGAGGTGTCTGTTAAATTAAGTATTAGGGTATTAGGTGTATTCTCTGTGATAGTGTTGCTTTGCTATGGGGAATTCCCCGTGTCTCTCAGTCCCAGTGGCTGGGAGAGAGGGACAGACGGGGGATTCCGATGGCGATGGGCGACATTATTTCACTGGATTCTTGCCATTTGTGTTGGAGTGGGCTTCTGTTCCGCCTGGCCCCATCAGGCCCTCTCATATCCAGGTCTAGTTGTTACAGGAGCAGTAGAGGCTACGTCCCAAATGGCACCCTACTCCCTATATACAGTGGGGGAAAAAGTATTTAGTCAGCCACCAATTGTGCAAGTTCTCCCACTTAAAAAGATGAGAGAGGCCTGTAATTTTCATCATAGGTACACGTCAACTATGACAGACAAAATGAGAAAAAAAATCCAGAAAATCACATTGTAGGATTTATAATGAATTTATTTGCAAATTATGGTGGAAAATAAGTATTTGGTCAATAACAAAAGTTTCTCAATACTTTGTTATATACCCTTTGTTGGCAATGACACAGGTCAAACGTTTTCTGTAAGTCTTCACAAGGTTTTCACACACTGTTGCTGGTATTTTGGCCCATTCCTCCATGCAGATCTCCTCTAGAGCAGTGATGTTTTGGGGCTGTCGCTGGGCAACACAGACTTTCAACTCCCTCCAAAGATTTTCTATGGGGTTGAGATCTGGAGACTGGCTAGGCCACTCCAGGACCTTGAAATGCTTCTTACGAAGCCACTCCTTCATTGCCCGGGCGGTGTGTTTGGGATCATTGTCATGCTGAAAGACCCAGCCACGTTTCATCTTCAATGCCCTTGCTGATGGAAGGAGGTTTTCACTCAAAATCTCACGATACATGGCCCCATTCATTCTTTCCTTTACACGGATCAGTCGTCCTGGTCCCTTTGCAGAAAAACAGCCCCAAAGCATGATGTTTCCACCCCCATGCTTCACAGTAGGTATGGTGTTCTTTGGATGCAACTCAGCATTCTTTGTCCTCCAAACACGACGAGTTGAGTTTTTACCAAAAAGTTATATTTTGGTTTCATCTGACCAAATGACATTCTCCCAATCCTCTTCTGGATCATCCAAATGCACTCTAGCAAACTTCAGACGGGCCTGGACATGTACTGGCTTAAGCAGGGGGGACACGTCTAGCACTGCAGGATTTGAGTCCCTGGCGGCGTAGTGTGTTACTGATGGTAGGCTTTGTTACTTTGGTCCCAGCTCTCTGCAGGTCATTCACTAGGTCCCCCCGTGTGGTTCTGGGATTTTTGCTCACCGTTCTTGTGATCATTTTGACCCCACGGGGTGAGATCTTGCGTGGAGCCCCAGATCGAGGGAGATTATCAGTGGTCTTGTATGTCTTCCATTTCCTAATAATTGCTCCCACAGTTGATTTCTTCAAACCAAGCTGCTTACCTATTGCAGATTCAGTCTTCCCAGCCTGGTGCAGGTCTACAATTTTGTTTCTTGTGTCCTTTGACAGCTCTTTGGTCTTGGCCATAGTGGAGTTTGGAGTGTGACTGTTTGAGGTTGTGGACAGGTGTCTTTTATACTGATAACAAGTTCAAACAGGTGCCATTAATACAGGTAACGAGTGGAGGTTGAGGAGCCTCTTAAATAATAAGTTACAGGTCTGTGAGAGCCAGAAATCTTGCTTGTTTGTAGGTGACCAAATACTTATTTTCCACTATAATTTGCAAATAAATTCATAAAAAATCCTACAATGTGATTTTCTGGAGAAAATCAATTTGTCTGTCATAGTTGACGTGTACCTATGATGAAAATTACAGGCCTCTCTCATCTTTTTAAGTGGGAGAACTTGCACAATTGGTGGCTGACTAAATACTTTTTTTCCCCACTGTAGTGCACTGCCCTACAGGCCCTGGACAGAATTAGTGCACTATAAAGGGAGTAGGGTCCCATTTATGACGAAGCGTGAGCCGGTGGGTATTATTAGAGCAGTAAGTCAGACCCCAGCTAGCTTCATTGTCACTTTCTGTTTTCTTTCTCCTGATGAGTCACTCCCTCCATCCTCCATTGTCGCTACTCTCCACTCAAATCTCCTCTTTCTTTCTCTCTTCCTCCTTTGTCTTCATTATTCTCCCCATTATTCTGTTGTTGAATCTCTGTCTTCTTTTGGTGGATTAAGATTTTTCAATTAAATCTAATTCTAGTCTGAAAGGGCATAAAGCCTCATTGATTTGCTGTCTCCTTAAGGATTCCTGAGAGCTTCTCTGGACCGTGTCGCTGAAATACATTTGGTCTGTAAAGTCTGTCTCCAACAAGTTATTGGACATCGTAATAAATCCGTCAACTAAGTCAGTATGTGGTTACCGACAACCAACCTTGCTATATCCCACAGTCAATCCTAATCCTAACTCCATGTGAACAAAAACATATTTTGAGTTGTGCATTGATGTCAATGGGAGCTCTAGTTCTCAAATTCTAGTTCTAGCTCTCAAATTAAGATTCAGCCCTTTAATGTCCTGTCAAATGATGGGCAACCTTGCGTCCTACAGAAAAATAAACTGTACTCTATGTGTTTTGTTCTGCAGGTCATTGTGGGAAGACGTTTGCCATCTTGGAGAGGTATGTCAGCGATGCGGTGCCAAAGACGAGCTGGCTGCTGGTGGTGGATGATGACACACTCATCAGGTAAAGCTGTCAGTACACAGACACAGACACGTACACACACACACGTACACACACACACACAGACACTAAGGCTGATGGTGTGTTTGAGTGATAGTTCCTCCAAAATGTGTGTATTCACTTATGCCAAAACCCCTGATGCAGTGAAAAAGCTGTCAAATAAAAAAGTTGAAAGAGCTCTTCAAGACTGCCTCTTGAGGGCAAAGTCAGCAAACTGATAATTTTGTATTTAGTGCGGAATTTACCGGATGTAGAGAGCAGTGGCGTCAGAATTTAATTGGGGGGTTTTGATTAGGAATATCCTAGCTGTTGTACCCGTGTGTGTGTATTGTGTGTGTGTGTGCATTGTTTGTGTGCATGCGTGAATGGTTCATGCATGCACACGTGTGTGTTTGTTTGCACATGTACCTGATGAGTGTGTGCCCTCCCCAGCCTGCCCAGACTGCAGATGCTGCTGAGCTGTTATGACCCCTCTGAACCGGTGTGTCTAGGGGAGAGGTACGGCTACGGGCTGAGCCAGGGAGGCTACAGCTACATCACCGGAGGAGGGGGGTGAGTCCCTTACAACATCCCAAAAGGCAACCTATTCCCTACACTACTTTTGGCCCTGGTCATAGGGTGCCTTTTGGAACTCAGCTAACATCTCTGACACAGACATTTTGGATGCAGCAATTGATGTTAATTAAGACAGAGGCTGTACTTTAGAGCAGTGGTCTTCAAGGACCCCCAACTCGAGGTCTTCATGGCTCCAACAGACCCGACCAAGGACCCGAGCGGATCCAGGTCCTAAATTCTCACTTTTGTCTCGGATCTGGGTCAGGTCTGATGTAACTGCCACGTGTCTCGGTATGTGCAATTAAAACAGATTTACCGACTGGACCTGATTGGACCTGCCCTCTGATAATTTAATGTGTGAGGTGATGAGAACTGCGCAAGCTTGTTGTCTGTGTCAGCCAACTGCAACTCAATAAAACGTATAGCTCATGTCCAGCTGAAACTGGTTCCTGCCGCTCACCTCACGTGCGCCTGCTGCTGAGGAGAGAGAGTAAGAGGAGCCTTGGCCTATAGGCTACTCTTGATTGCACAGATGGAGGCCTTTTTCACTGAAGTAAAACGGAAGATAGAGGAGAAAGATTATTGTGAAAAGAAGTCGACAAGGGGAATGGACAAAGGTGAGAAGAACATTGGCATTGGACTGTGCAACTCGCTATTCAGGTTCGATGCAATTTTCTAACATTTATTTATTTATTTTTGTATTTATAATAATTTATCATTATTGTATATCATTATTCTTATTATTGTAGGCCTATTTAAGAATCTAAACCAGTTCTTTAAATATGCAGTGTTTTAATTCATTTTGTTGAGGCATTTTCGTTGGATAAATTAAGTTTGAACTGTCTTTTTGATTTTGTGCTCTGTATTTATACTGAACAAAAAATATAAACGCAACATGCAACAATTTCAAAGACTTTACTGAGTTAAAGTTCATATAGGTGGCACGTTCGTTTAAGGACGGGTCAGACCAAGGCGCAGCGTGAAAGGCATACATGTTTATTTCACCAATAAACACACGAACAAAACAACAAACGAAACGTGAAGTCCTAAGGCTAAACACAATACAAGCCTCTAACAAGGAACAAGATCCCACAACAACTGAATGCAAACAGGCTGCCTAAGTATGATCCCCAATCAGAGACAACGAGCGACAGCTGTCTCTGATTGGGAATCACACCCGGCCAAACATAGAAATACAACACCTAGACTGAGAACATAGAAAATACAACATAGAACACCACACCCTGACTCAACATACAAGAGTCCCTTGAGTCAGGGCGTGACAGTACCCCCCCCAAAGGTGCGGACTCCGACCGTACAAACCTGACATAACAGGGTAGGGCCCGGGTGGGCATTCCGCCTCGGAGGCGGATCCGGCTCCGGGCGTGATGACCACATTCTCTCAGCCTCCCCGTTGCGCCCCTGGTCTGGTCTGGACCTCGGCGCGCTGCTTCCCCTCTCCTTCCTCCCACGACGTACCAAGCCCTGTCTGGACCCTGGTGTGGGAGACCCCGAACCTGGAGAGGGGCTGACGTCTGGGTCTGGACTGGAGCCGCTGACCGGAGCTGAACTGGGCACCGGTGGAGCGGACTGCTCTGGCTCCGGACTGGAGCCGCTGACCGGAGCTGGACTAGACACCGGTGGAGCGGACTGCTCTCGCTCCGGAATGGAGCTGCTGACCGGAGCTGGACTAGGCACCGGTGGAGCGGACTACTCTGGCTCCGGAGTGGAGCAGCTGACCGGCACCGGTGGAACAGGCACGGGCCGTGCCGGACTGGACACACGCACCACTGGCTTGGTGCGGGGAGCAGGCACGGGCCGGGCCGGACTGGGAACACGCACCACTGGCTTGGTGCGGGGAGCAGGAACGGGCCGGGTCGGACTGGGAACACGCACCACTGGCTTGGTGCGGGGAGCAGGGACGGGCCGGGCCGGACTGGGAACACGCACCACTGGCTTGGTGCGGGGAGCAGGAACGGGCCGGGCCGGACTGGGAACACGCACCACTGGCTTGGTGCGGGGAGCAGGAACGGGCCGGGCTGGGAACACGCACCACTGGCTTGGTGCGGGGATCAGGAACGGGCCGGGCTAGCGATACGCACCACTGGCATCCCAGCCTGAATCTCCTCCCATGTCCAGGATCCCTTTCCGTCCAGGATCTCCTCCCATGTCCAGGATGTCTGCTCCTGGGCACGCTGCTTGGTCCATTTTTGGTGGGATCTTCTGTCACGTTCGTTTAAGGACGGGTCAGACCAAGGCGCAGCGTGAAAGGCATACATGTTTATTTCACCAATAAACTTACGAACAAAACAACGACACGTGAAGTCCTAAGGCTAAACACAATACAAGCCTCTAACACGGAACAAGATCCCACAACAACTGAATGCAAACAGGCTGTCTAAGTATGATCCCCAATCAGAGATAACGAGCGACAGCTGTCTCTGATTGGGAATCACACCCGGCCAAACATAGAAATACAACACCTAGACTGAGAACATAGAAAATACAACATAGAACTCCACACCCTGACTCAACATACAAGAGTCCCATGAGTCAGGGCGTGACAATAAGGAAATCAATCAATTGAAATAAATTAATTAGGCAGTAATCTATGGATTTCACATGACTGACTTGGGAGCCAGGCCCACCCACTTGGGAGCCAGGTCCAGCCAATGAGAATGAGTTTTTCCCCACAAAAGGGCTTTATTACAGATAGAAATACTCCTCAGTTTCATCAGCTGTCCGGGTGGCTAGTTTCAGATGAAGAAGCCGGATGTGGAGGTCCTGGGCTGGCGTGGATACACGTGGTCTGCGGTTGTGAGGCTTGTTGGACGTACTGCCAAATTCTCAAAAATGACATTAGAGGCGGCGTATGGTAGAGAAAATAACATTAAATTATTTGGCAACAGCTCTGGTGGACATTCCTGCAGTCAGCATGCCAATTGTACGCGCCCTCAAAACTTGAGACATCTGTGGCATTGTGTTGTGTGACAAAACTGCACATTTTAGAGTGGCTTTTTATTGTCCCCAGTACAAGGTGCACCTGTGTAATGATCATGCTGTTTAATCAGCTTCTTGATATGCCACACCTGTCAGGTGGGTGGATTATCTTGGCAAAGGAGAAATGCTCACTAACAGGGATGTAAACAAATTTGTGCACAAAATTTGAGATAAATAAGCTTTTTGTGCTTATGGAACATTTCTGGGATCTTTTATTTCAGCTCATGAAACATTGGACCAACACTTTACATGTTGCGCTTATATTTTTGTTCAGTATAGTTTAAGATAAGTTACAAGTCTGTTGTAAAATAAACATAATTAGCCTACAGAGCTTGCCAGCTTGTCCTAAAACCCGGAAATGAGTTCTGGTTCGTTCAGCCTTTCATAAGGGGAAAATTAATGGGAAAATAGTAGGGTTTTGGGATAAATGCCGAAAATAAGGTCTGAGGTTAACACAGGCTTAGGAAATCTTATACAGTGCATTGGCCAATACATGGCATATGCAATCCAGGCTTTATATAGTGCCTTCGGAAAGTATTCAGACCCCTTGACTTTTTCCACATTTTGTTACGTTACAGCCTTATTCTAAAATGGATTACATTAAAACAAAATCCTCCTCAATATACACACAAAACCCCATAATGACAAAGCAAAACCGTTTTTTTTGCAAATGTATAAAAAAAACTAAAAAACATATACCTTATTTACATAAGTATTCGGACCCTTTGCTATGAGATTCGAAATTGAGCTCAGGTTCATCCTGTTTCCATTGATCATCCTTAAGATGTTTCGACAACTTGATTGGAGTCCACCTGTGGTAAATTCAATTGTGTCGAGGCACAGATCTGGGGAAGGGTACCAAAACATTTCTGCACGATTGAAGGTCCCCAAGAACACAGTGGCCTCCATCATTCTTAAATGGAAGAAATTCGGAACCACCAAGACTCTTTCTAGAGCTGGCCGCCCGGCCAAACTGAGCAATCGGGGGAGAAGGGCCTTGGTCAGGGAGTTGACCAAGAACCCGATGGTCACTCTGGCAGAGCTCCAGAGTTCCTCTGTGGAGATGGGAGAACCTTCCAGAAGGACAACCATCTCAGCAGCACTCCACCAATCAGGCCTTTATGGTAGAGTGGCCAGATTGAAGCCAATCCTCAGTAAAAGGCACATGACAGCCCGCTTGGAGTTTGCCAAAAGGCACCTAAATAACTCTCAGACCATGAGAAACAAGATTCTCTGGTCTGATGAAACCAAGATTGAACTCTTTGGCCTGAATGCCAAGCGTCACATCTGGAAGAAACCTGGCACCATCCCTATGGTGAAGCATGGTGGTGGCAGCATCATGCTGTGGGGATGTTTTTCAGCGGCAGGGGCTGGGAGACTAGTCAGGATCGCGGGAAAGATGAACGGAGCAAAGTACAGAGAGATCCTTGATGAAAACCTGCTCCAGAGTGCTCAGGACCTCAGACTTGGGGCGAAGGTTCACCTTCCAACAGGACAACGACCCTAAGCACACAGCCAAGACAACGCAGGAGTGGCTTCGGGACAAGTCTCTGAATGTCCTTGAGTGGCCCAGCCAGAGCCCGGACTTGAACCTGATCGAACATCTCTGGAGAGATGTGAAAATAGCTGTGCAGTGACACTCCCCATCCATCCTGACATAGCTTGAGAGGATCTGCAGAGAGAAATGGGAGAAACTCCCCGAATACAGGTGTGCCAAGCTTGTAGCGTCATACCCAAGAAGACTTGAGGCTGTTATTTATTTTCGCAAAGTTATAATCATCGTAATTGACATGGGCTACATTTCCAGTCTAATCATTTTATTTCAGTTGTAATATTTCACATTCTTGATGTCAGATCAGCTGGTCTAGTAGTTTTATTGAACCGTTTTTTCGTTGCAACCAGAGTTATTTTAGCTCGGAGCTCCGTGTAATTTCCCATTTAGTAGCGTGTTAAGAGATCCAGCCGTAACCTGCAGGTAACACTTAGGTTCCGTATCTTCGTTGCAAGCAGGCCATTCATTCTTATTTGTGGGATGTGTGTGTACACAACATATGAAATTAACCAGACTACTATGCGAAGGGTCAAACTTTAATGTGTGTTGGTGTGTGTGCTTGTGTTGTGTCCTGTCAGGATGGTGTTCAGTAGGGCCGCGGTGGTGAGGCTCCTGGCCAGTGACTGCAAGTGTTACAGTAATGATGCCCCTGATGACATGGTGCTGGGAATGTGTCTCAACGCTCTGGGGCTCCCTGTCACACATAGCTCCCTCTTCCACCAGGTAATACGCTGGCCTTACCCATTACCCTTATGCCAGGAACCCACAGTTTGGAATTTTATTGGCACAATTCATGTGTCACATACTATTTTCATGATCGTTATTTTCGTACACGAAAAATGGGAGCTCCGGAGTCGCTCAGTGTGGCAGGGTCAACAATAGCCGAATTACTGCACTTGTGATCTCCCGACAACACTAAATCGTCTAGCATGTCAGAATTTCCTGTCGTAGCTCTGCACTTTTCGTGCTGTGTGAAGATTCCACGGCAATAGGAACGCTGCATGCTGGCATGCACTGTAGAAAAGATGAAGCAATTGGTTCATCTTTCTACACAGCGTGTTATCTAACATTTTCTACATGCAAAATGACAATTTCTAAGTATTATGGAGTGAAAATATCCAAATCCGATTTTATTAACCACATTGTAGGCATACTAGAACACAGATTATGGCAGATTTGACAAATAAGCACTTTCTGATATCTGCTATTTTGAATGACAAATTCAAATCAAAGCAAATTGAACTTCATTTATAGAAGTGGTAAAGTGAGAACACCCTTCAGATAGCAAATCTTCAAGATGTATTAGCTGTTATGTCGTACAGTGGAGCACATCCACTGCACGACATAACAAAGTTTGGAAGATCAAAAAACGCACTGTGGGAGAGAGCCATTACCTTATGCCTTTTTATCCATTACCCTTACCTCATACCAATTACCCTAACCCATTACCCTTTTCGAATAAGTTACCTAAGACCTAATACTCTTTACCCATTATTCTTACCTAATAATACCAACATTTACACAGTACGTCAATTTCACAGTTCAACAATAGTTGTTGTAGCAAGGCTCAGGTAACAAAGATACTAGTCTTTGATATCCCTCCTTAGTTTCCTCCATACATTCTCCTCAGCCCCTAGGGGACTGGTTCTCTGATTGTACCAGTGTATTTAACAGCCCTGTTTAAAAGTAGCTATCTGGAGTGCAGTCTCCGGTGGCTGACGGTAATGGAAGGAATAGTTCACCCAAATTACAAAATGGCATATTGGTTTCCTTGCCCTGTAAGCAGTCTATGGACAAGCTAAGAGAGCAATCCATGCTTTGGTTTTGTTTACTAGCCACTATCTCCAAATGCTAACTTTTTAGCATTGGTGACACAAAACCAATGCAAGTCAATATCCTCGATATTAGCATTTAAATAATTGTTCTGTCCCTCCAGGCTCGACCTGAAGACTACTCCAGAGACTTCCTAGCCCACCAGGTGCCCATCTCCTTCCACAAACACTGGAACATCGACCCCGTCGCCGTCTTCAACAGGTGGCTAAAGGACGAATCGAAGTCAACAACCCCACACGGACTAAACAAGAGCACCAAGGAAGAGTTATAGTCACTCAGACACTATCAGTCTTGGTGTGTGTGTGTGCATGTGTGCGTGCGTGTATGTGTGGAGTCATGGACAAACGTATTGTCAGCATGTTTTCCTCCATCGGTGTAAATGTTTTCTATATTGTGAATCTTGCGGAGATATAATTTGGAAGGTTCATGCAAGCCTCTGTCCATGGCTGTGTGTTTGGGAACTTATTCATGACTGAGGCCAGGATTCAATCCAAGGTACGTTAGATCAGCGCAATATAATGGACTTTCAAAGGTAATTTACACTTGAGCCGACATGCTAGCATTTACCATGAAAACGCCTTTAGAAGACACATTGTCTGCTCACTAGTGCGCAGCTCTATAACTTGTATTGAATCCTATTTTAAATTGATTTGCATGTTGAGGTTGTCTGTGTGTTCGGATCTTGTCTGTGTATATTTATAATATGATATAATCTATTCCAAATTGAACAATGAAACTGTTTCTTTTCTTAAGGACATATCTCAACATTACTACTACATGCTGTACAATGTGTACTATTTTGCTATAAAAGTGTTATTACTTAAAAATATGTGTTTGCGCTGTCTTATTGGAGTTTAATTCTGGCATTAGGTTTCAGGATGAATTAATGACTATTAATTGTGAATGTAAATAATCGGGGTGTGTGTGTTTTCATAGCCCCTATTATCACACACACAAACACACCAAATACTGTTCAATGGAATTTTAAATAGAAGCTAAGAGAAATTACTCCAGATGTTTGGTTTATGATAACTTTGATATGATAACTGTGAAAGCAAAGAGCCTTAATGTTTTGTAAACTCAGTGTATTTGTATGGTATGTAGCTACAATATGTTTGTTTTGTATGTTATGAATGATGCTTGGCTTAGTTCAATACTCAACTCCAGATAAACAACATTGCACTGCATCTTACTTTGCAGAGAAAATGTGTACTGCATGATGAAAGAGTAATTATAGTCAATGACCAGAATCTTTGGGTAAATACAGTTGAAGTCAGAAGTTTACATACACCTTAGCCAAATACATTTAAACTCAGTTTTTCACAATTCCTGACATTTAATCCTAGTAAAAATTCCTTGTCTTAGGTCAGTTAGGATCACCACTTTATTTTAAGAATGTGAAATGTCAGAATAATAATAGAGAGAATGATTTAGTTAAGCTTTTCTTTCTTTCATCACATTCCCAGTGGGTCAGAAGTTTACATACGCTCAATTAGTATTTGGTATCATTGCCTTTAAATTGTTTAACTTGGGTCAAACGTTTCGGGTAGCCTTCCACAAGCTTCCCACAATAAGTTGGGTGAATTTTGGCCCATTCCTCCTGACAGAGCTGGTGTAACTGAGTCAGGTTTGTAGGCCTCCTTGCTCGCACACGCTTTTTCAATTCTGCCCACAAATGTTCTATAGGATTGAGGTCAGGACTTTTTGATGGCCACTCCAATACCTTGACTTTGTTGTCCTTAAGCCATTTTGCCACAACTTTGGAAGTATGCTTGGGGTCATTGTCCATTTGGAAGACCCATTTGCGACCAAGCTTTAACTTCCTGACTGATGTCTTGAGATGTTGCTTCAATGTATCCACATCATTTTCCTTCCTCATGATGCCATCTATTTTGTGAAGTGCACCAGTCCCTCCTGCAGCAAAGCACCCCCACAGCATGATGCTGCCACCCCCGTCCTTCACGGTTGGGATGGTGTTCTTCGGCTTGTAAGACCCCCTTTTTCCTCCAAAAATAGCGATGGTCATTATGGCCAAAAAGTTCTATTTTTGTTTAATCAGACCAGAGGACATTTCTCCAAAAAGTAAGATGTTTGTCCCCATGTGCAGTTGCAAACCGTAGTCTGGCTTTTTTATGGTGGTTTTGGAGCAGTGGCTTCTTCCTTGCTGAGCGGCCTTTCAGGTTATGTCGATATAGGACTAATTTTACTGTGGATATAGATACTTTTGTACCTGTTTCCTCCAGCATCTTCACAGGGTCCTTTGCTGTTGTTCCGGGATTGATTTGCACTTTTCGCACCAAAGTACGTTCATCTCTAGGAGACAGAACGCGTCTCCTTCCTGAGCGGTATGACGGCTGCGTGGTCCCATGGTGCTTATACTTGCTTACTATTGTTTGTACAGATGAACGTGGTACCTTCAGGCATTTGGAAATTGCTCCCAAGGATGAACCAGACTTGTTTGATTTTCCCATGATGTCAAGCAAAGAAGCACTGAGTTTGAAGGTAGGCCTTGAAATACATCCACAGGTACACCTCCAATTGACTCAAATGATGTCAATTAGCCTATCAGAAGCTTCTAAAACCATGACATCATTTACTGGAATTTTACAAGCTGTTTAAAGGCACAGTCAATTTAGTGTATGTAAACGTCTGACCCACTGGAATTGTGATACAGTAAATTATAAGTGAAATAATCTGTCTGTAAACAATTGTTGGAAAAATTACTTGTCATGCACAAAGTAAATGTCCTAACCGACTTGCCAAAACTATAGTTTGTTAACAAGAAATTTGTGGAGGGGTTGAAAAACGAGTTTTAATGACTCCAACCTAAGTGTATGTAAACTTCCGACTTCAACTGTATGTTTAAACTCATTTACCACACTACGTAATGGATGAGGTGTTTCAGTACAGACACTATATTAAAAACAAATCTGTTTGACGTTATTTTTTAAGAGTGTACTGTGAATGTAGCCAACAAGTCAACCTGTATTTTGTCTTGGATTATGAAGAACATACTTTATTACCTTACAATTTATCATTTTGTAATTGTGTGTCTCTGTATTTTTTTTCTTACAGTTATACACAGACATCCTTGCCGTTGCAATGAACTCCATTATTACTTAGCCACAATGAATTGATTTTTTCTACAAAAATGTATTGAACATTGTGTTGGGTGTAATTACATTAATAGATCTAGTGAACATTGAATAAGCAACACTGAGCTGCACTGGTTCGGCGTGACAGATAGAAGAAGTCACTACAAGCCTTACATCAAAGTTGCCTGAAGCTGAATGGAACTATGCCTTGACCAGTTATTCAGAAGAAAATCCTTGTGTCTAATTTACATAAGGTTGGTTAACTTACCGGCGTGGACCCAAAACAAACACATTCTACACATTTACATACTACCTTTTTAAAGTTTTATTGCAACCATGGTGTTCTTTATTACTGAAGCGTATACAGTATATCAAATAACGTGACAATGATCCACATTGTTGGGTTCTATCTTGAAATGTACTTATTCATGTTACCAAACTAGAACTTATTGATTACTTTACATGTATAAGGAATTATGTTGGGGTAAATGGAGGGTGGATAAGAACTAGGTGAATGGAAAGTTACTGAGTGAGGAAGTGCAGAAAGTTTACATTCTGTCAAAACATGGTATTGTTAAATCTCATGGCTCCTAAAGAGGGAGGCAAAGGGTAACAGTCTGGTTTCAGTCACTGATAAAGTAGGACAGTTGTGGATTAGGGAGGAGCGTGGAATTCATCCTGAGGTCAGATCAGATGAAGTGAGAAGGAACAGTCCTATCCCATACACATATACAGTGGGGAGAACAAGTATTTGATACAATGCCGATTTTGCAGGTTTTCCTACTTACAAAGCATGTAGAGGTCTGTAATTTTTATCATAGGTACACTTCAACTGTGAGAGATGGAATCTAAAACAAAAATCCAGAAAATCACATTGTATGATTTTTAAGTAATTTATTGGAATTTTATTGCATGACATAAGTATTTGATCACCTACCAACCAGTAAGAATTCCGGCTCTCACAGACCTGTTAGTTTTTCTTTAAGAAGCCCTCCTGTTCAACACTCATTACCTGTATTAACTGCACCTGTTTGAACTCGTTACCTGTATAAAAGACACCTGTCCACACACTCAATCAAACAGACTCCAACCTCTCCACAATGGCCAAGACCAGAGAGCTGTGTAAGGACATCAGGGATAAAATGGTATACCTGCACAAGGCTGGGATGGGCTACAGGACAATAGGCAAGCAGCTTGGTGAGAAGGCAACAACTGTTGGCACAATTATTAGAAAATGGAAGAAGTTCAAGATGACGGTCAATCACCCTCGGTCTGGGGCTCCATGCAAGATCTCACCTCGTGGGGCATCAATGATCATGAGGAAGGTGAGGGATCAGCCCAGGACTACACGGCAGGACCTGGTCAATGACCTGAAGAGAGCTGGGACCACAGTCTCAAAGAAAACCATTATTAACACACTACGCCGTCATGGATTAAAATCCTGCAGCGCACGCAAGGTCCCCCTGCTCAAGCCAGCGCATATCCAGGCCCGTCTAAAGTTTGCCAATGACCATACGGATGATCCAGAGGAGGAATGGGAAAAGGTTGTGTGGTCTGATGAGACAAAAATAGAGCCTTTTGGTCTAAACTCCACTCGCCGTGTTTGGAGGAAGAAGAAGGATGAGTACAACCCCAAGAACACCATCCCAACCGTGAAGCATGGAGGTGGAAACATCATTCTTTGGGGATGCTTTTCTGCAAAGGGGACAGGACGACTGCACCGTATTGAGGGGAGGATGGATGGGGCCATGTATCGCGAGATCTTGGCCAACAACCTCCTTCCCTCAGTAAGAGCATTGAAGATGGGTCGTGGCTGGGTCTTCCAGCATGACAACGACCCGAAACACACAGCCAGGGCAACTAAGGAGTGGCTCCGTAAGAAGCATCTCAAGGTCCTGGAGTGGCCTAGCCAGTCTCCAGACCTGAACCCAATAGAAAATCTTTGGAGGGAGCTGAAAGTCCGTATTGCCCAGCGACAGCCCCGAAACCTGAAGGATCTGGAGAAGGTCTGTATGGAGGAATGGGCCAAAATCCCTGCTGCAGTGTGTGCAAACCTGGTCAAGACCTACTGGAAATGTATGATCTCTGTAATTGCAAACAAAGTTTTCTGTACCAAATATGAAGTTCTGCTTTTCTGATGTATCAAATACTTATGTCATGCAATAAAATGCAAATT